TGTTGGACTCCCATCTACCATAACTCCAGCCAGCATCTCCAATGATCTGGGATGATGGGAGTGTAGTCCAGCAACACATGGAGTCTCAGTCCTCTCTCCTTGAATGCTTCAAAGCAGCATCCTGGGCACTTGTGAAATGTAGTTCTCTAGGGCACATTGGTGCACTCTGGAAAATACGTTGTTGTTGTTGTTGCTGTTGTTGTTGTTGTTGTTGTTGTTGTTGTGCCCTTCCTCCCAAAGGAGTCCAAAATAGCAAGCAACAAGTGATAAAACAATAACTTCTTTAAAACATCCTCATTAACAATTGCTATATAGATGCAGACTGGGAAAGATCTCTACTTAAAATAAAGCTCATGTTTCAGGATTCCTTCTTTGAGGGATGCTGTGTTTAGGGATGGATATCCAGCTAGACTTTTTTGTTACCATTGTCTCTGCCAGGTAACTGGGAAAGCAATAGTGAGAGTGACCGTGGTACTGAGACCTATTTAGGACTGCCATACGTCCGGAATTTCCCAGACATACCCCTGAATACCGTTGTCAGAAGCAGTGTCTGGATGGAAAACATCGGAAAATCCGGATGTATGGCACCCCATGTCAGCAGTGCTGTTTATTGCCATTTTACTTTTTTAAAAAAAGCTCAAAAACATCCTTTCTTTTTGTGATTTTGCCCAAGAAGCTCAACAAATTTGGGCAAAACTAATAAAAAGCTCAAGAACTTTTGTGTCCGGATTTTCACTTTTTGAATTATGAGCGACCCTACCTATGATGGTGCAGGCAAGTTTGGATCTGGTATAACATTATGTCAACTTGACTTACATTGGCTTTCTTTATTGCAGCTTCTCTTGTATAAGATCGCTCCTTCGATTTTTGTTGTTGCTGTTTTAAACAATATTCCTTATTATTAGTTATTGCTTATAGAATGTTGGAGGGACCAAGAATTCCTGTGTCAGAAAACCCTGCAATGAAATATATTAAGAAAATTCCCTGCCAAACTGTTTTGAGGGGGGGGGGGAATTCCATTAAAATGCAGCTTATAATTAGGTTTTTTTAATATAAAAAACCACCATAATTTTAATATGCTTTGCTTCTCTAAATTGCACCATGCTTTAAGATGGCATCCCACGTGTACCTACTCTTCTGAGAGTTTCTATTTTAATATGATTGAAAACTGACACTGTGTCAGCTCTAATTTTTATTAATATACAGTAATTTAACTGAGCAAACACAATAAATCAAGTGTGGTAATGGGTTTAACTACACAATCCATTTGGAATTTTAAGGACAGTCAATCTGTTAATTGCATATTAATTAATTATTAAAGGCAAATTTGAGATTTAGCAGCTGCTAGATGGGTTTGTTTTACATACAAGCGGATTCCCACTGAGAAAGCAACTTCACCATCTGTTAGTATACTAGTTACTGTATCTCTTTAGAACACATGTCACCTGTCTTGCTAGTCCTTTAACAGATTGATGCTCCAGAGACATTGTCATGTAGAGGGTTAGTTTAATGGCTGAATGATGGGAAGCCATGCTTCAGTATTCCCTGGACTATCTATCACTGACTTTAGGCTTCCTATTAATAAAGCAGTTTCAGATAAATCAGCTTTTCTTAGTTGTGGGGGATTTGGAAATGGAGATGTCCCAGACCTGGTTCACACATGCAAGTTCATCACTTGATCTTGATGTATTTGATGACCAACTGCTGATTGTCTGAACCAATTCAATCAATACAGTGGTACCTCAGGTTACAGACGCTTCAGGTTATAGACTCTAACCCAGAAATAGTACCTTGGGTTAAGAACTTTGCTTCAGGATGAGAACAGAAATTGTGCAGCGGCAGTGTGGCGGCAACAGGAGGCCCCATTAGCTAAAGTGGTACCTCAGGTTAAGAACAGTTTCAGGTTAAGAACGGACCTCCAGAAAGAATTAAGTTCTTAACCCAAGGTATCGCTGTAGGATTGCATTGGAGGGAATGTGAGGTGGAAGAAAATGAAGTATATCTATTGATAGTCCATCCACACATACAAGTCATCGTGATGTTAAAAGTCCCTTAAGCACCTTTTTGATGCACAGTCTAAGGTTACACTGACCCTACCCCCTCCAGTACTCATCCCAAATTCATGGTTCTAAGTCAGGCATCCCCAAACACAGCCCCCCAGATGTTTTGGGATTACAACTCCCATCATCCCTGACCACTGGTCCTGTTAGTTAGGGAGGATGGGAGTTGTAGTCCCAAAACATCTGGAGGGCCGAGTCTGGGGATGCCTGTTCTAAGTGGTACTGATGAGGCAACCAATACTGTGGAGTCCACATAAAAATAAAAATAAAATGTGCAAGCTTCCCCTCCCCCCAGTATGGGTTTTAACATTAAACTTGGATGATGATAACAACAGCAACAACAACAAAAACAACAACAATTATTTATTATTTATACCCCGCCCATCTGGCTGAGTTTCCCCAGCCACTCTGGGCAGCTCCCAATCAAGTGTTAAAAACAATACAGTATTAAATAATAAAAACTTCCCTAAACAGGGCTGCCTTCAGATGTCTTTTAAAAATAGGATAGCTGCTTATTTTCTTGATATCTAATAGGCGGGTGTTCCACAGGGCGGGTGCCACTATCAAGAAGGCCCTCTGTCTGGTTCCCTGTAACCTCACTTCTTGCAATGAGGGAACCACCAGTAGGCCCTCAGCTCTGGACCTCAGTGTCCGGGCTGAACGATGGGGGTGGAGACGCTCCTTCAGGTATACAAGGCCGAAGCCATTTAGGGATTTAAAGGTCAGCACCAACACTTTGAATTGTGCTCAGAAACGTACTGGGAGCCAATGCAGATCTCTCAGGATGGGTGTTATGTGGTCCCGGCGGCCACTCCCAGTCATCAGTCTAGCTGCCGCATTCTGGATTAATTGCAGTTTCCGGGTCACCTTCAAAGCTAGCCCCGCGTAGAGCGCATTGCAGTAGTCCAAGCAGAAGATAGAGCATGCACCACTCTGGCGAGACACTCTGCAGGCAGGTAGGGTCTCAGCTTGCGTACCATAGAAGAGAAAGGACAGAAGAGAAAACAGCAGGGAGTCTGTTCTAATGTGCTGGATTGTTCAAGAAGCTCTGCTTATGGCATGTTGATAGTCAAGATGACCCCATCCTTAACTGGTAGAAGCTGTAGCATTGAGCTTATACCCAACTTGCTTTGATATTCACTAACTGCCTCCTTGGATGTCACGTTTATCTGTGGACCTGGGAGGTTCAGCGCAGAGCCCAGAAACGGGAAACATCAGTAATGTTCCCATGTGACGTATGCTGTTCTGTTGTATAAAGAATGTATGCATCTTTGACACAAGCCCTCTCCTTCCTGCATTCTACCACTGCGTCCGTGCCACATCTGTAAGGACAAGGGGAACTGACAGGCTGCTTTTCTCTGTAACTCTATTTCTTTCCTAATAAAGAGCATTAGAACTGGCCATTCTTGTGTCTCTTAGCATTCTTCCTGCAATCTGGACCCCCCACAGCTCTGCACTGGCCTGGAGTGCAGATTATCACACTCCACCTATGTAGATTCCCTGCACATTTTAGAAACCTGGAAAAGCAAGAGTTCAAAACCATGTGGGTAGGACCTGTTCCAGGCTTCAGGTGGCTCTTGGCAAAGTCCATCTGATGCCCTCTTCCACCAATACTGTCCCACTGGTGCCAGTCCTCCTCCTCCCCCACCTCCTCCCACTTTCTTTTCTTATAAAAGCCATTGGCTACACACAATAAATATGTGGCTGATCGGCCTTGAAACTTGATGGACTCTCTTGTTAGAGGTAGACAGATATTGGGTAATGTGGGTAATGGCTGTGCTGCTGTGCTGGGAGGTTGCCCTAGGTGACAACCACTGGACACTTGATCCTTCTGTTCATATTGTTCTTATTGGAGATGCCAGGAATTGAATCTGGGATCGTTTGCATGCAAAATCTGTGCTCCACCACCAAGTTATGACCCCCCTCTTCCTTTATGTTAACAGCTAGCCCTTCCTTTAAGACATCATGACAGGCATCTGAAATAATTTTAAATGCTTTTTTTTAAAAAAAGGTGGCAGAAGCAACAATATCATTCACCAAAGATGTGTTTTGACACCCTTAGTTCTTTATTAGATAGATACATAGATAGATAGATAGATAGATAGATAGATAGATAGATAGATAGATGAAAGAGGAAGGAGTTTGACACACAAATAGATCCCAGGCATAACACACTGATATCCTAACCTTCTCTTTAACTATTTATTTATGGAAGACACTTCACTGTCAAATTTCTAATTCTGTGTTGATACCACTGTGGAAATTTGCATTAAATGACATTTTGATTAGAGTGCTCAAATCTGGGCACCTTTAAAACTTTGCCATTTGTTGTGTATGCAAAGTCTTCCAAGAAAATGTCCCATTTCCATTTCCCTCTGGAATTCTTGGCGATCAGGTAGGAAAGAGTAATTATTACTTTCTTCTTTTCCCAGATTCTAGTCAGGTACAGGAAATGCTAATTATAACAACTGTATTATACACCAGCTGCTTAGGTCTTAGTTCCATATTATGATTTGCTACTGGAGTTACACGGAAAGCTGTGGGTTTTATCTTATTTTATTTTGGTTGTTTTTGTCCTTAAAACCCAAATTGCCTGTCTGGTCCTCATCTGCTAAAGAGGAAATAGCACAAGTAGTAATTGCAAAAGCAGTACAGTGAACTTTATGCAAAATAAATGAAACCCAAGAGGCCTGATGCTGCTATGCATGTGGAAGCAGGTTTCTAGGCAAATATCTGCTAGCTTAGAGGCCCTCCAAGTGTTGTTGGTTTACAACTCGCCATTGGCAATGTAACATCATATGTAGGGTGCAGCTTCCCTGTCACTGCCTCAGTCAGTCACACAATTACATAATTTCAGACTCTGGACTTCTACTCAGTGGACCCATTAGGATTTATGGACCAAAATTAGGGAACAATACAAACCCAAGATCCACTGTGATGACCTGAGATGGCTCAGTTGGTAGAGCCTGAGACTCATAATCTCAGGGTTGTGGATTTGAGCTCCATGTTGGGCAAAAGATTGCAGGGGTTTGGACTAGATGCATTGCAGGGGTTTGGACTAGATGACCCTCGTAGTCCCTGCCAACTCTACAATTCTATGATTGAGCTAGAATCTGAAGTTCCAGCTCTGCTGGGGTTATGTTGGTGTAAGTCACCAACCCTGGCTCAGCCAGAGATAAACCAGCATAAGTCTCTTTATCCTGGCTCTGCTGAAACTCACAGTGAGACCTAGGGCCAGTGTCTCTCAGCAAAGCGGACCTTTCAAGGTTGTTGTAAGAAAAGCATGGAGAAATTGAGAACCATGTGTGCCACCTTGAACTTATTGGAGGAAAGGGCAGAATTTAAAGTAATGGAGAATTTATTCGGCCTGTCTATTCCTGATCCTGAAGTGGATGGAAGTATCCAGCAGGGAATGTGGTGTTAGGAACTCTCCACACCTAGTCCTCTCCTCTCTTTTTTGTTAAAATGAGACATGAGATAAAGCAGGGATGGGGAATACGCAGCCTCCAGAAGTTGTAAGATTCCAATTTCCATCAACCCTTAGACAGCAATGCAAATTGCTACAGATGATGGGGTTATAGTCTAACACCTGGAAGGCCACAAATTGTGCCTTAGGGAGAGGGAGAGTGATAAGGAAGACCTTGGGCACATGATCTTCCCATTTTTGCGTATTTCCTCCCTAACAGGGCCTAACATAGTCTTTGCACAAAATATGGCTGAAACTCTGCTAATTTTATTTTGCATGTAAACGTGTGTTGGATTGCAGCTTAAGTCTTTCTTCTCAGCAATGAGAACTGTTTGTCTTAGTGATTCAATCCACCTTCTGTTTGTCTTAGTGATTCAATCCACCTTTTTGCTTTCCTTTCCAAATAGCTGATTGTCAGATTGAGCTTTGTTTAAAGGGTCATGTTGGCGCATTTCTATCGGTTGAATAAGGAAAGATATTTTCATATGAAGCATCCATCTGCATGCTTTCCCTCCCATCTAGCTAAGAATCCACTTGCAGGAGGCTGAACTGAGTTTTTGCAAATTCCAGTATGTGTGTTCCACATATCTCAGACTATTGTGCATTTTGGACTTTGTTACTAACAGCTTTTGAACTTCTTCAAATACAATGTGACACAATTCTCAGAAGTTTAAACAAAGCACAATATACATTCCACTATAAATTGTAACAGGAGGCACATACTTCAGAGGATTGATGGTTAAAAAATTGCACAATAATCCAGAAAGCAACGGGACATAATTATGGATAGAAATGTGCAAAAATGACCAAACCTGTATGAACAAATTCATCCATCCATAGGTATAAATGTTTAATGATAATAAGATGGTTTTAACATGATATTGCCTCTTTAAAGCCCATTACTCTTCCAGAGCTTGTACAGTTTGATGTTCCCTGCTCATTAAAATGTGCATCTTTGTGTTTGACAAGTACATTCATTCAAAGAGATGAATTTGCACTGAATGACAACTAATTTGAAGATGAAGCATAAATATAAATTATTACAAAAGTGATTTTTTTTCTATAAGTAGATAAACCCTAATGACTGATTGCGGCAGAAATATATCTTAAGTAGATAACTGCATTAAAAAATTATCCACCCTAACTGTAACTAATTTACTTTCTGTTATGTAGATTTCATTGTATTTTATTATTATTGGTATATTATTTTTAGAAAATCTAGTTAGCTACAAAGCTGGGAAAGTCAGCATCTGATTGACAGTGCTGTATTTGCCATGAAAACAAATATGGGATGTAAATCAACCAAATGGCTTTATTGTTCTGAGTTTTTTTTGCAGCCAGATGAAAGCTATATAAATGTAGCTTGCAAATGCAATTTTTCAAAACTACAATTACAGCTTAGTAATCAATGTCTATTTTGCATAGAATACTGTCATTGTTAAGTCCCTACTTTCTTTGTTGCAAATAGGCTTTATAAGAAATTATTTTGTGTTAGGATATCTGTAAAATATAATTTGTTGCTAAATTTTGATAGATATATGTGCACTAGTATACACATAAAGCTAAAGGTAAAGGGCCCCTGGATGGTTAAGTCCAGTCAAAGGTGAATATGGGGTTGCGGTGCTCATCTTGCATTTCAGGCTGAGGGAGCCGGCATTTGTACACAGACAAACGTGGGTGGCACTGAGGTCTAAACTACTGAGCCACTTGGGCTTGCCAATCAGAAGTTTGTCGGCTTGAATCCTCATGATGTGGAAAGCTCCCATTGCTCTGTCCCAGCTCCTGCCAACCTAGCAGTTCGAAAGCAAACCAGGCCAAGTAGATAGATAGGTACCACTGCAGCGGGAAGGTAAACAGCATTTACATACACTCTGGTTTCCGTCACGGTGTTCCGTTGTGCCAGAAGCAGTTTAGTCATGCTGGCCACATGACCAGAAAGCTGTCTGTGGACAAATGCCGGCTCCCTTGGCTTGAAGGCAAGATGAGTGTTGCAACCCCATAGTTGCCTTTGACTGACTTAACTGTCCAGGGGTCCTTTACCTTTACCTATACACATAGGTTTGTGTCATGAGAGAAACACCTACGTGACCAAACATTGGCAGAAACACCTACATGACCAAACTTCATGGCTGCTGACATGGTTACTGTTAGCGTTTGAGCCCCAGCTCCTGGGATTCCTTTCACTGTCTCAGCAGAGTTACTCAGAAAGTCTTACTGCGTCTTCACAGCAGCAGCAGTCCAGCCCTCCCTTCATGAATTCCTGTGACAGGAATAACTACCTCACTCATCCAATTCTTCTCTGAAGTCTTTGTTATTTACCGTACATTACAAGTTGCACAACACTATTGGTCTACGCATAAGATAAGAAACATGAGTATATACAGAACTCTGCTCCCTTCAGCCATCTGGCTAAAGAGGCTTGCAGATTTTCACATATTCTGGCAGACACTCTGACCAATGTTGGCTGCCTCACACTCCACCGCAACTCTCCTCCACACATGCCCTGATAAAGACACATGTTGCTGGGGAGAATTCTCATTGCTAAGCAGACATTTTAGATGTGCTTCAAGGCCATGCTTTAAGGCTGGCTTCAAGTTGATTTTGGCAATACGCCAGTTATGGCATTCACCAGGGGAATGTACTGACCACAAGATGAGATTCAGACTGGGAGGTGTTGCTGTAGTCTAAAGTGATTCACAGACAATCTGACTCAACTTAAGGTCTCTTTGAGTCTACTTTGTCTCTCCCCTACCCTTAACATGGGAAAATTTGCAGGCCCAATGACTCCTCCAGAGTGGGTAAAACTTGCCAAATTATAGATGAATACGTTCTGGGACCTTTGTAGCAGAGGCATCTAAAAAATGTGTGTCTAGATTCAAAATGGAGTTATAGGGGGTGGGCTAGAATTGGATAAAATTTGCAGGCATGCTTATCCCTTCTGAGGGCATGGATCCTGCCAAGCCTCATAATGATAGCTGCAGTCATTTTCCTGAAAAGGCAGCTGTTATAATTTTGAGGCAGGTAGAAAAAAAAGAAATTTACTTAAAATTGCAGACATGAAAGAACTGCCCTTAAGTTTAGCAGGGGGTGGGGGTGGACTGCTGCCAAACTGCAGAGAAATAAGTCTTGGGGATTTTATATTAGGGACTTTAAAAATTGATTTTGAGGTGGGAAGAAAAAAGGGGATTCGCTTTGGGGGTAGAATTGTTCTTTCTGATCACAAGCTTGACCTGTCAGTAGCAACGGAACCCTCTCTCTCTCCCCTCTCCATCCTCTGTAACTTTTGTTCTTGCAAAGAGTCTCCCTTCCCCAAAGCTGTGAGATTCAAGAGCACTGACAGAATCATACCCTTTGATTACAAGCTATATTTGTTAGTCACAGGAGAGTTTCCCCTCTCTGCCCTCTCCCCACTCTGATGTTTGCTCTTTCCCCCCCTATCAGCCCACCCTGCCACTATGACAAGCTTAGAGACATTACTTTCACTTTCAGGAGACACTTGCCTGCAGCACTTTTTTGATGTCTCGATTGCCAAAGCCCTACAAGGTGCTTCAGGGGTCCTTGCTTTGATTCATGGCACCTTGTACTGACTTGCCTCTGAGAAGTCAAAAATGCTTCCCCTTCACTTCAAAATTCATCCAAATCTAATGCCCATCCCTAGTTATCCACACGCACATATGATTTAACTCTCTGATAGAATCAGGAGTTGGCTTTCATATAGCTCAGTGAAAGAGTTATCGGTAAACACAGAAGAAGTAGAAAGGAGGGAATTGGTCATAACATCATTTTTAAAATTAAATTTAAAAATAAAAAGGAAAGACACTGATTGTGGAAGAAAAAGTTGAAGCTGGAGAGTAATGACTCTCTGGTCAGCTTTCCACATTGGGAAGGCTCGTAAGAGACCTGTAAATGTGTCCACACAAGTCAGGGCATACCTGTACCCCTGACTACTAGGCAATGACCTCTGTTTGCCACACCTCCAAAGGTGTCCCAGGCCTCTTGATTTCAGCCATTGTGCTGGGAATGGGAGATCATTGCTTAACCTTTTGATACAAGGCACACTTGTCAATGGTATCCTGAACCTGCAGTCATTTCTGGGTTTGCACGCCTCACCATGTAGCTGTCATTCCTCGGTTCCCAGCTTTCTCATGAGCAACAGTTTCCAAGCACTTGGCCTCTGTTGTGATGGACCTCACCTTTACCAATGCATTGGCCTCCTGGTTCCCTGGAAGTAATACAGGATTATGGGCACTTACAAACATTACTCTAACCACCTTGGAGTGCAGAGGGACCATGTTGCAGATGTCCTTCCACAACTCAGCCACCCACAGCTGCTTCCCATTGAATTCCCAGTTATTGTGGTGCCACTGGGCCACCCGTACTGTCAGTCCTTTAAAGACTGCCCAGGAATTGGTGCAGATCTCTAAGCAGGAAGGCTCAGCCATGATTGCCATCCATACAGCTCGCAATGCTGTCCACTGGCTGGATGCCCCCTCCCCTTCATCACACCATATCTGCTCTTTGTATGGTTGATAAGCTACTGCAGCCCAC